AATAATACAGTACAATAATGTCTGGCACACTGAGCAGGTTCTTGTGGGCGGAACCGATCGTCGTCCCCATCTTTGAAAAGGGCCCGCACAGTTATTGCGCCCATCTTAGGGGTATGAGCGTCAAAGCTGTCGGCATGCGTCGTTCTCCGCCAAACGTACAATATGCGTGAGGAGCAGGCTTAGTTTCTCACCTATTATGGATTCATGCATCAAATGTTCGCCCTCCGACAGCTGCTAGAACACTGCTATGCCTATCAAAGACCAGCTACCATTGTGCTTCTAGACATCCGCGCGGCCTTAGACTCTGTCGATAGGACCGCACTATTGAACTGTTTATCGAGGAATGGAGTACCTCGGAGAGTTGTATCGTCATACCTCAGATCGGTTAGAGCCTGTCGCCAACCTTCGCCGTCTCCAGTCGAGTTAGACAACGTTGCCCGATATCCCCATTCCTTTTCAACTTTGTCATAGAGGATGTTCTACAGAATGCTTTGTGCGGTCTAGCAAACGGTGGGATCTAACTCCTCCCAGGGAACAGAGTTCTTGGCTTAGAATATACTGATGACATTGCCTTGTTAGGTGACAACACACGCATTCCAAAATGCTTTTAATCGCTTGGCGATCGAGATATCCAGATATGGTATATCCTTTGAACCATCCAAGTGCAAATTGCTTGTTAGAAACCGGCAGGACCCTATGTCTGCACTCAACCTCTATGGTGATCAGCTGGAAGTAGTTGCGAGCTTCAAGTACTTCGGAAGCCCGATCGCCGGTGTTGGTGGTGTTTGGATGGAGATCTCATCACGAATAGCAAAAGCTAGAGCAGTTTCGTCCACCTGGGACACCAGTGGTTACGCCCTGACATCCGACTGTCCCCTAATTGAAGGGTGTACATCACCGCGGTTCGTAGTGTTCTGCTTTACGGTTGCGAGATCTGGCCTCTCCGAGCGGAGTATGCTAATCGACTTTCTGTATTCGATCACCGGTGTCTCCGAAGTATTGCTCGTGACTGGTGGGAACATCGGGTGAGCAATGACGAGGTTTGTCGTCCTGTATTGGATGTAGATAGTCGCTCTCCAGCAGGAGTAATCGCTCTACACCGCTTCCGGTGGCTTGGTCACGTATTGCTTATGTCGACCCATCGGCTACTCTTCCGTGCAATCTTTGCTCGTACCGGGCAAGGTTGCAAGAAGCACCGCGTTGTTCAGACAATGACATGGCGTAGAGGTTTGAAGAAGCTAGCTTCAGCTGTGGCTTCGGTTGG